TGTTTTCTCGCTGCAAAGTTGTTTGAGTTCCTTGTATATTCTGGATATTAAACCTTTGTCAGATGTATAATTTGCAAATATTTTCTCGAACTCTGTTGGTTGTCTTTTTACTCTGTTTATTGTTTAGTTTGCTGTGCAGAAGCTTTTTAGTTTGATGTAATCCCATTTGTTTATTTTCCAATATTTTTCTGTGCTTTTTGGGCCCTATTCATGAAGTCTGTACCCACTCCTACTTTGTGGAGTGTTTCCCCTGTGTTTTCTATAAGGAGTTTTATTGTTTCAGGATGTATATTTAATTCTTTAATACATTTTGAATTGATTTTGGTATATGGTGAAAGGTATGGGTCTGCATTCATTCCCCTACATATGAGTATCCAATTTTCCCAGTACCATTTGTTGAAAAGGCAGCCGTAGGTTTTTCATAGATATCCTTTATGACGTGGAGAAAGTTCCCTTCAATTTCTAGTTTGTTGAGAGCTTTTTATCATAAATAGATGTTGGATTTTGTCTATTGCCTTTCTCCATCAATTGAGATGATCATCTAGTTTTTTAATTTAGTTTATTAATATGGTATGTTACATTAATTGAGCTTTGAGCATTACTCTACCATGCATGTCTTGAATGAATCTCTTTTTGATTATGGTTTATAGTCATTTTTATATAGTACAGAATTCTACTTAATGATCTACTTTGAGGATTTTAAAATATGCATTGATAAGTGATATTGGCCTATAGCCTTCTTTTCTTGGAATGCCTTTGTTTGGCTTTGGGAATGAGGTAATACTGGCCTCAAAGAATGAGCTGGAAAGTCCTCCTTCCTTATTTATTTACTGAAAAAGTTCATAGAAAATTGATAATATTTCTTCTTTAAATGCTTGCGGGAATTCATCAGTGAAGTTTTGTAGTCTGGACTTTTTTTATATGCAGCCTTTTAATTTCTTCACTTGTTATATTCTTATTCATATTTTCTATTTGTTCTTGAGTCAGCTTAGGTAATTTGCATTTTTCTATTTTATCTAAATTGCCTAGTTTAATGACATAATGTTGTTTGTCTTATTCCCTTATAATGTTTCTGAAATTTCTGTCAGATGTGTATGCTCCCTCTGAGTTTGATAATCTCTATCTTTTCTCTTTTTTTGTTTTTTATGAGTCCATGTAAGGGTTTTCAATTTTGTTAATCTTTAAAAAAACCGGCATATTTTTGTTTCAATGATTTTCTGATTTCTATTTTATTCATTTACACTCTAATTTTTATTTTTGTTTTTTTTCTGCTTGCTCTCCATTGTGCTGGATCTTCTTTATCCAGTTTCTTAGGAAGGCTAAGTCGATAATTTCGAAAATTTCTTCTTTCTTTACTGGCAAAGACAATTACAGGCCTAATTTTATAAAATTATTTCTTTCTTTCGAATTTACCACTCTACAGAGGTAAAGCTTGGCCATTTCCTTACTTGGGAAGCAACAGGAGAAACGTGAGAAGCTGGGATGAGAGCATTATCTTGAGAGATCTGTTTATCTGATGCTGTTCAGAACCAATTACCAGGGAAGCTTCCATATTTAATCCCCTTAGCACAGGGGCCATTTGGGAGGAAGAGAACAAAGACAAACACAAAACCTAGGTAATATGATAGTTATAGATAGAGGACAGCAGTGATACCTACCCCCTATTATCCATGAAATGTATAACCCCCTCCTCTTGCATGTGGGCAGTACCTGTGACTTGTTTCTAGCCTATACAATGTTACAAATGTGAAGGTATTTTGCAGATGTAATAAGGGTCTCATATCACTTGGTTTTGAGTTCATCAAAGGGAAATTATTCTGAATGGACTGACTTCAGAAGGTCAAAGCCCTTAAATGACATCTCAGGGAGATGAGCCTCAGTGAGCTGCTGTGGGGAGGTTTTTGCTTTGACCTAGAGCAACATGGGAGGAAGCTCATTATTCTGCTGACAGTAATAGTTCGCAGCATTGTCAGCCTCCACAGGGTGGATTGTGAGGGTGAAGTCAGTTCCAGACCCACTGCCACTGAACCTGGCTGGGACCCCAGAGTCTTGACTAGGTGCTTCATAGATCAGGAGTTTATGGGGATGTCCTGGTTTTTGTTGATACCAGTTCAGAACACTGGTGCCAAAAATATCATTGACACTCTGGCTGGCCCTGCAGGAAATGGTGGCCCTCTCTCCTGGAGACATAGCCAAGGAAGCTGGAGACTGTGTCAGCGCAATGTCCCCAGTGGAGGCTGGAATGATAAACACAAAATAAACTGTAACAGATGTACTGAGACCATCCCTATGTAGGCCCAGTGCATTGGTGACACTTGTCACCACAGCCACAGGTAACACGCTGAATAACCAGAAAACAACAGGTAACTGGGTAACTTGAAATCTACAAAAATGCCTTAATTCTAGTGACCAAGAACCCAGAAACACAGGAAGCAATGATGACCGGAATGGG